CTGTCATGTCTTCTTTGATCATTTTTAATCCATGATTATTTTTACTCCAAGTTTCATTGCTGTGAACATTCAATATGAAGTTATGTGTTGTTCTGTATTTTGTGATTCTGGGATAACTGAATAAGAACAATTTAATAAATTGGAGCAATAAAATCAAAAAGTAAAATTCCATTATTAAAATACACAGATTACCAAATATAGTTTTTAAGTCAAAAATTAAATATAACCATTTGCCATTTAGAGGAAATTAGATTAAAACAAAGTGACATACCATGAAAAAAAAAAGCTAACAATAATAGGAGAAATAGACAAAGAGCATGAGGTTAATGGAGTGTTTTTTAAAAAGATAATTTAAAGCAAAAATTAGAAATAGGGTCGTTGTACTTGGTAAAAGATAATTAAAACTCTAAAAATAATAACTTTCAGGAACATGTATTTTCAGGGAGAAAATCAAAACACAAAATAAAACTTTTAGACATATAAGAAGATACTGGTAGTAATGATAGTTAGGGGAAATTAACACACCTATCTCAGTCTGACTGATCAATCTGGATGAAAATAAAGAGGATGTACAGTAGTAGTTTTCTGTGGAATAGGGGGAGGAGTGAGCAAACTCCAGGACCCTGAATCCTGCTTCAAGCAGACTACTTTGCATCTATTGATATGGGTTATTTTATTTTAGTGTACAAGGATTCCATAGGAGGTAAACTGTTCTGAAATTATTAAAAACATGAAAACAATATCTGACAACTAACAAAAGCTATATAAAAAATAATTTTTAAACTTATAAATATACTTTTTTCCAGTAACATGGAACTTGTACTAAAAATTAATTCTGTACGTGACTACAAAGATTGACTTAGCAGGTTCAAGAAAGTAGAAACTGTATATCACTCTATGTATCAACACATATCATATGTAGCTATATGTTTCTTATCAGCAGAAAGGATAGTTATATGATTTTGTTATTAATCATGAATAATAATTATACTGATCATTCAGCTCAAAAAGTTAAAGTGTAGTATAAATGTACTGGTTGCAGAAGAGGAATTAGTAAATTAAAAAATAGAAACTCATGAATTAAAAACAAAAAATTAATAAAAACTTAAAATGTTTATTTTAGAGAACAATAAAATAGACAAACTTCTGACATAGCCAATCATTTAAAACTTATTATATCTAACATTTATTGGGTGCTTACAGTATGCCATGTATTTCACTCAGTAATCCATAAGAATTTATCTCACTTAATCCTCAAAATAGTATTTTGACAATCGTTCATTTATTTCATAAGCATTTATTTACAATGCCCCAAACATGATATGAGGCACTGGGGACATACTGCTAAACAAAATTCCACTGCCCTAAAGATATTTGCATTTTAGAGGAATAAACAAATATCTTCATTTTACAGATAAGAAACAAAATTTAGAGAACTTAGGCAAATTTCCCAAGGTCACACAGCATCTTTGTGTCCAAATCGTATTAGAACCCAGGTTTCTCTAAAGGTCCATGCTCCTAACCAATATGTAATGCTATTTCTGTGGGCAAAAATACAGAAAACATATATTTATACGATATAAATTATAAAGAATACACAAGGACCATCATTTTATTACTGTAAACTAGGGTTTTTTGCCTGCTTACTTTGTGCCAGACTGTTTAAATCTTTCAAGATTCACAACTACTCTCTGACATAAGTCGTAATATTTCTAGCATACATTACAATTGAGGAACCTAAAGAAATGAAATGTTAAATAACTTGTAGTTGCAGAGCTACCTCTATAGCCAGTCAATCTGGCTGCGGAACCCATACTTAACTGCTAGAATATGTAACTACCTGTGATTAAGACTATTTTAAACTACACAATTACAATTTGTATAACTTGCTGCTAAAACATTGACATTATGGATAAAATAGTTGATTTTCTAGTGAAATGCGAATTGTCAAAGTTGGCGTAAGCAGAAATTTAAACAATACAGTCAAGGAAAACACAGTCAAAACACTAACTCCAGTGATGGTGGCAGACCCAGGTAACTTTGTGAGAATCCTATCAGTGTTTGAAGGCAAATATAATTTCCCTACAATTTAAGTTGGTACAGAATACAGAAAATAGGAATATTCTGGCTTGTTTACCAAGCAAATCACTCATCATTATGATACTGCATCTGTCAAATCAGTCTGTAAACAAACCATGAACTCACCAATGAATAAGCTCACAAACAACCTTGATAAGCTACAGACAATCTCACCTCTGAATATATGCAAAAATTCTAGCATCTGTTAAAAGAATATCACACTGATGTAAAGGATGTTCCAAAATGCAGGGTTCATCCTTTCTGGACATTGAATATATGCACCTATACCAGCAAGCAAAAATTGCCAACTCCTTAATCTAGCAACTTCAATTTTATGTTTTATTCCTAAGGAATAAAGCAGAAAGGTATTCAAATATATATAAGGGTGGTTATCATAATGTCATTTATAATGGAGAACATTGCTATCATTCCTTAGGAGAAAATAATAGGTGAATATCTTACACTTAACAGTTATAATCTATGGTAAATTGTTACAAGGGACATAAGTAAGATACACAAAGCATTTGGTTATTTAAAAGAAAAAATTCTAGCTGGCTACACAAATTAGGACTTTGCTGAAGGGGAGGCATTTAGGACAGGTCCCAGAGGAGGAGTAGCATTTTAACAGATATGATTGGAAACACAGAGGGATGTGTTTCTGGGTCAGGAGATCTGGAAAGAAGTAGTGAGAAATCAAACTGAAAAAGTCGACTGGGTCCAAAGCATGAAGTGTATTAAAAATATGTAGTACTAAATAAATCAGTGGAACAGAATTGAGAAGCCTGAAGCAGATTCAAGTACATGGGAACACATTCTATGACAAAAGCACCATTTTAAATATTGTGGGAAAAGGAGTTGTACTTATTTAATGATGCTGAAATAATCAGTTACATTCCCTATCTCAAACCAATACACAAATATAGTCCAGTTGGATGAAAGATCCAAACATTTTAAAGTAATAGAAAATGCTACCAAATGCTTCAGAAAATACTGACAAACTTAGGTTTATAGATAATTTTGTAAACAGGAAAAAAAATCAGAAGTCAGGAAGGAAACTATAGACATGTTTTCTTCTCCCCAAAAATGATTATAAAATTGTATTAGAGGCCCCATAATAAGCTAACAGTACACTGGGGAAGAATAGTTTGATGGTCCTAAAACACAAAGAACTCTAAGAAATTAACACAAATAAGCAAATAAAAAAGCAAGCAAAATAAAATAAAACAACATAAGCAAACAATTCACAGAAATGCAGATGCAAGTGGCCAATAAAATCATGAAAAGATGTTCAACCTCCTTAGGGTTCAGGAAAATATTAAGCAATAAAATATCATTTTTAACCTATAAATACTAACAAAACTTTAAGAAGATTGATCAAATGCAATACTGGCAAAGATATAGGGAAACAGTATCACATATTAACAATAGGTAGAGAAAGTGCTCGTATATTATTGAAAAACAATTTGGCAGTACTTGTTAAAATGGAAAATGTGCATGTCCTTTGATCCATCAGTCCCACTTTTGTGAAAGACTGCTAGAGAAAATAGAATAGTACATGAAATATGTGCAAGGTTGTTTATAGCAACATTGCTTTTTAATGATTAAAAAAAGAAAAAACAGGCCGGGCGTGGTGGCTCATGCCTGTAATCCCAACACTTTGGGAGGCCAAGGTGGCAGATCACTTGAAGTCAGGAGTTCGAAACCAGCCTTGCCAACATGGTGAAACACCGTCTCTACTAAAAAAAACAAAAATTAGCAGGGCATGGTGGCAGTGCACCTGTAATCCCAGCTACTTGGGAAACTGAGGCAGGAGAATTGCTTCTGAGAGGCAGAGGTTGCAGTGAGCTGAGATCGTGCCACTGTACTCCAGCCTTGGCGACAGAGCAAGACTCTGTTTCAAAAAATATTTTAAAAAATAAGAAAAAAAGAAAAACCTTGACTGCATTCAATGTTTACCTACAAGGGGGCAGTTGATTAAAGCTGGTACATTCACACAACGAAATAATATGCAACTATTAAGCAGAATAAGTCAGGCTAATATGTATTGAATATGATCTTTAAATAATAAAACAGCAAATATACAAAATTTATATTTTAAAAATAAGAAAACAGAAATAACTCATTATATGTGTGAACATATGCTTCATGGAGATGAAGTGGGAGATTCTGTGTAAATTGTGTTTGCTATTTGGCCAGAAAAATAAGATTTGCAGGGTTGGAGGCAGGACAAGTTTTTAATTTACTTAATTCATAACCCTTTTGTTTGACTCATTGCAATAAGCACATATTGGTAATTTTGTCAAGTTACTCTTGTCGTTTATGAAAACATAATTTTTTTTTTGTTTTTTGTTTTATTTTTTTCAGATGGAGTTTCACTTTTGTTGCCCAGGCTGGAGTGCAGTTGTGCAATCTCGCCTCACTGCAACCTTTGCTTTCTGGTTTCAAGCGATTCTCTTGCCTCAGCCTCTCGAGTAGCTGGGATTATAGGCACCCACCATCATTCCCGGCTAATTTTTGTATTTTTAGTAGAGATAGGGTTTCACCATGTTGCCCAGGCTGGTCTCAAACTCCTGATTTAAGGCGATCTGCCCGCCTTGGCCTCCCAAAGTGCTGGGATTACAGGTGTGAGCCACCGCATCTGGCTACCAGTGTGTTTAAAAATAAATCAAAATTGGTTACAATTTGTATTGTCTTTGAATTGCTTTCCTGAAATATGAAAGAAAAGGAAACTTTTTAAATAATCTACTTACCAGACAACTCACATGGAAAGTGAAATATATCTACCAGCACACGGTCCTTAATTGTGATTACATTTTATTGCACTCAGCCTATTAAGTGCTTAAATTACCAGATAACAGAATCTATGTTCCTAATAGTGGAAAGCGTATTAACAGTATTTTTGTTCCCTCTCGTAGCCCCGTTCCAACAATCACATGGATGAAGGTTAATGGCTATATTCCTAGTAAGGCACGTCTGCGGAAATCTCAGGCAGTGCTGGAAATACCAAATGTACAGCTGGATGATGCAGGCATTTATGAGTGCAGAGCTGAAAACTCACGTGGAAAAAATTCCTTTCGTGGACAATTACAAGTATACAGTAAGTGTTTTCAGCAAAGCATGATCGCTGTAGTCCCAAAAGTCAAACTGAAAGTGGAAATTAACTTTAAGTAAATATTGTTTATTAGATGCATAAAAACCAAGTAATAATTTATAATCATACTTCTTTTGTATGGTAAGGCATCACGTCAAATTACCCTACACATAGAACTGATTTACATTATAAATGAATGGGGAATTATCGGTGTCTTTGTACAGCATACAGAACTTACGTCCTTAAAAATGAGCTATTTCCCTGGCACCAGCACTATTCTCTGATACGTTAAAAATCTTACTAAACTTATTAACTTATTCTAGAACTTGGTCAGAATCAGAGGCTCCAATCTAGTGTCCATCAACCAAATCCTGCCCAGGTGCCATTTTTTGTAAATGATGTTGGAACAAAGTCACACCCACTTGTTTACATATCACCTAGGTCAGTTTTTGCCTGGCAATGCAGAATTAAATAGAGACAGAGACCAACCGACTTGCAATGACTGAAATATTTGCTATCGAGCGTTTTTCAGAATAAGTTTGCTGACCTGTGGCCTAAATTAATACATCTGTATAATAAATAGCCCCTACAGCCTGTAAGTGTTTATACTGTCCAAAAATGCCAGTCACCCAGGTTGTGTCTAAGAATTAGGAATATCTGGTTCAAACGTTTTTACAATCTCATCTTTACTTCTAAAGTTCTAAGTTGTTTGCACTTTTCATATTTGATTTATAATATATACAATGGGTAAGTTAGGGTATTCTCATTTTCCAGATGAGGACACTAAAAAGAGAAGCAATAGGCTAGAGCATTGATATAAGCAAATACAGATTCTTTGAATATATAGTTATCCAAATTTCATGTTGGCTGCTTCCTCCAGGAAACCATGACTGTCCCTGTATCTCAAGATCAGTTCTAAAAGCTTAATGCCCTTTACAGGAACTCCTAAAGAGTACTTTAAAATATTAATATCTGAATTCAACCAGTCTTTCTTCATCTTTAACAACTCCTTTAGGAATTTAGCACTCTAACCAAATTGATTATGCATTGAACATTTTATCCATTCATTCATTGATACAGTTAATGTTTGTTAAGTGCCTCTTGCTGCTCTACATGCTAGTGATAGAGCCTTGAAGTAACTCGTGATCCATTGGACTAGATGAAAAGCAAACCCCACATTAGAGTGGAGCATTCTATGTGCAGTGATAAAGGCATGTGAAGAGGACTGTGGGAATGCAGAGTCTACTGCATTTTACTCAGAGGAGTCGAGGAAAGCTTTAGAGAGGATCGGTATCTTAAGGGCTAAACAGGGGAGAGCATCTGGAAGAAAAGGACATAGACATTTAAATGTTTCTAAGATTGAAACATTAGCAGTGGTTTGATTGCTTTTAGGCCATGAATATTGTATTTGGATGAAATTCACAAAGTTTGTAACTGTTCATAATTCCTAAAACAAATCATGAAGACAACTCTCCCTAGCCATAGAAAAAAAAGTTTTTTCTACACCAGTGGAGCAAAGATTAACATTAAAATACACAGTGATTTTATTCTCACGGCAACAGTTTGAAGTATTACCATCCCTCTGTACAGATAAAAATCTGATACTGAAAGACAAGTGTTCAACCAGAACTTTATTACTGAAAATCACAAATAATGTAAAGCATGCTGAAGGCTATCAGAGGAAAGTACCAATTTTCTGTGTTCTAAAAAATGGCCCACACCTAAATAGAATTAGATTGTATGTTCTAGGGACTGAGGCTCCTACATAGCATAACTCTACTTACTCCTCCCTTAACCCCAGCTACTTAATTCATAGGTAATGATGACTGTTTCCAGAAATTTAAAAAAAAAATTGCTTTCACTCCATAGTACTGGTGTACGTTCTAGTGAGAAAGTGCTACTTAAACAATCTGGGGTGTCCTTGTCATGCACTGTAGGCCAGCTGGGTAAAGACAAACCTACTCAAAGCATGCATCACTTTGAATAGAAAAAAAAAAAAAAATCTAGATTGTTCCTTAGAAAGAGAAACTGGGCCAGCTAGCTACTTGGCATGTATTTGTGACAGGTGGGAAATATATCTTGAAAGCATGTGAACTCTTTCTTTAGCCCACGTTTATGGTGGCTTTCTACCAGGCTCCATCAGGAGGCCATATACCTTGCTTTGCCCTAGAAAATTCCATTTTACATCTGTTGCCCTAGGACAATTATGAAGAGTGTCCTATTTCACTTCTAAAAGTATCTTGGTAACTAGGTGCAGTGGCTCAGACCTGAAATTGTAGCACTTTGGGAGGCTGTGGCAGCTGAACCTGCCTCTAAAACAAAAAGTACAAAAAAATTATCTGAGCATGGTGGTACACTCCTGTAGTCCCAAATGCTCAGGAGGCTGAAGTGGGAGAATCACCTGAACCCAGAAAGTCAACGCTGCAGTGAGCCATTATGGTACCTCTGTATTCCAGCCTGGGTTAGACTATGTCTCAAAAAGTATTACAAATAAAAAATAAAAGTATCTCGGTTATCATGTATTCATTCAACTTTTGTACTTTTAAAACTGTCATGGTTGACATGAGGGCTTTCCTCCCCATCAAACTCTGTAAAATGTAGATAGGATCTTGGCCATCATTTCCACCTGACTGGCAGTAGATATGGATAGCCTGATGAATGGATGTTTCACTGTCTCCTTGGTTTATATTTAGAATATTCTCTCAATAGAATGAATTACTGTAGGAAGCTCTGTAATTGGGGCTATATCTGTTAGAAGTACAGGCTACCCTTTTTATCCAAACGGTCAATATTCATGGAGTACTGAAAACATATGGTCTTTCCTGTAGCACATTGTTTTTGAAAGTACAATTGCAGGAATACTTATGCTTAGCTATTAGTTTCAAAAAAATGAACCAGGGATCTAATGCAGCATTTCTAGTCCCTTTTCTTGGTCAAAGCATTATAAAAGTGCTATATAGACGGTACACATAAATTTAAGCCACATATTTTACTGTTTTTAATTCAGTATCTACATTGTAAACATAAAACAACAAATGACAACATGAAGTCCATGGTAGTTAAATAAATTAAAATTAAGGTACACTTACATGTCTAATATAACAAAAATAGGTCTTAAAAATAATACTCATAAAAAAGAAATAAAACTTGGTGAAATTAAAATACTAAATTTTGGAAATAATTTGAACCTTAGCACAAACTGCATAAATATTCTACTTGGTATGTCTTTCTTGATAATAGGATTTTCATGGGTTAAGCCATTTCTTTGGTTATTTCTGTCCTCTCTAGTTTCTGACGATTGATCAAAAAGATGTGGTTTTAACTCATCATAGAAAATTTTGTTTTTATAGTTCTAATACAAGTTGAACTCTTACTTGGTAAAGCTCTCAATTAAAAATAAAAGAAAAATGACAAAATGACAAAAGAAATGAACAAAATAAGGAGGGAAGGGGTAATTGAAGGGGAAAAGATGGAGGCAGGAAGGACAAACATCATTTAAGCAGTTTTATATTATAAGGAGTTCTCAAAACGGGAAGTACTTTATGTAAACAGAAATCTCATTATATAAAGATGTGTGATCTGTGAGTTTAAATGTGTATCATGTGCTTCACCAACTAGTAATTTGTCACTCTATAAAGACAGTCACTATGATCTCTACACAGTTTATATATACTATTTCAACTGGAATTGTATCTGTATTAAAATATTCCTTTAACCAGAATGCTTAAAAGAAAAGTAAGCTGTACTGTACTAAATATCCAGTAAAGGAATAGTTTCATTTTCAGTGTAGAGTGGTATTATAGATTTCCTTATCTTCATAAAATCTCTGAACAGTATCCTCACAAATGTTAATGGCTTCTATCATATGCAATTTGATTGTAAGCTCTTTCAAAACAGTCTCTTTTTGTTTTCATCTAGCCCTATGAATTCTGTTCAGCACACAGTGAATGATTTTTATTATGATTCTCTACTGTTATAAAGATTAGTGCTTTAGGTATGCACATCATTTTACAATGTCCACTATGAAAAATAGATGAGAGTCCGCAAAGACTAAGGAACGAATGAAGGGAACTAAAGATTACCAAGAGCTTATCTTCTAGACACTACTACGAGGTGCTTTACATACATTACCTCACAATAACCCTTAGGTATTAGGATTCCCATTTGACAGATGAGAAACTAGGCCTCAAAATATTAAGGATTTATTACCCCAGGATCCATTAATAACAAATAGTAGAACCAAAATCCAACTGAAACTGGCAGTGACACGAGAATTCAGCTCCTGCCTCTACCCCCAAGGATAGCTTGCTACTTCTCAGTGAGACATTGAGAACCTGAACTAAGGCATGAGATGAGAATGGCATCGAGAGCAGATAATTTCTACTTACTATATACGTACTTAACATTTTATTACTGTTCGAGAAAACTGTACGATATATTAAAATCCTTGCCATTCATTTTTATTCTTTTTTCTTTTCTTCAAAACACTGTTTATGTATGTTAGGTCTGATCTTTAAAGATGTTTTAGCTATTAAAATATATCAAAGATTTGCTCTAGGAAACAATATAAACTTGTAGATTCCTGGTTAATAATTTCATACCTAAAGACAGTTTTCAATCCCATTGTATGGAGAGAAAATTCTTGCCTTGAATTCTACTGTTATTATGAAAGTGATGCCATATGTATATTCACAGTTGCTAGAAAATGCAGTTGAACATTACACATGGGCAATGGACTGGGAGGAAACTAACAAATATATATTATCTTCTGTCATCAAAGTAGCTCATTTAAATAGGAATTACTATCTACAGATTACAACTGAGACTCATTACAGTTAAATAACTCATTCTCAGCCACATAATAGAGCAAGGGCAGGGTAGCACTAGAATTTGAACCCATATTCACCCCCAACCATATAATCTCTCCAATATAACACATTACGTCTCATTGGCCCACAGCTGAGAGTCGTAATATTGAAAGTGATCTATGCGGATAAAATATGTTGACTCCTCAATACATAATAGTACGGAAGCAACAAAGGAGGCCAATAACACTTAGCATTCATCAGTAGAGAGTTACAGAATTTCTAATGACAAGAGATAATAAGCAAGGGTTTTCTTTATGCACATCTGCTTAGCGTTTTATAAAATGTAACCCAGAGACTGATCTGAAGCTCAAATGTATTACATAAATACGGTGCATCTGGTGAGACTTTAACAGCTCCTGGGTTTAAAGTGCCCTATGCCTCTTCAGTTTTCCACATCCTAAAAGAGGTGGCTTGACAAAAGCTAGATTTTAAAGTTATTAGGTTTGTTTTAAATGTGACCCAACCTGTGATTTTTCTTTCCCAGATAAATGAAAGACTCTCCGTAATGCAGACCATGTCTTGGTGTCTGCTCACCCCATGTTATTATTCAGAAGCCAAAGCCAGTGCCCTTTAGTAACTTTCAATCTCAACAACAACAACAAAAAAGTTTAAATGTAACCTTTTATATTTCTGATTTTATGTTACCAGTAATTTTGTTGTTTTTGTAAGAATCTTGCAAGTACTGTACTGTCTTTTTCAGATTACAGCCTAAGACAAATTATTTCAGGCCTTAATCCAGTCTTTAATGTTTTATTTTTAAAATTTTACCACTGCCCTTTCACATAATGTTTTTGCCTTGGTCCATATAGTATAGACCTAGTGGTTTATAAAATACCTTACAATGTAAAAACGAAATCTATTGTAGAAGTCAAACTGATCTAGTATTGAACATAACCTACATTTTCCAGGTATTATATGAAGGACAACAATTCATAAATTCCCATAGCCTTCATGTTAATTAATGTTTATTCAATGATGACTTAAATTTATTTTTCTAATATAGATCTTAACTTCACTGTAACACAATCTACAATCTAAATTCTGCTTGTATGTGTGTCTGTGTACATGTTTGTGTGTGTATGTTTATGTGTTTGTGTGCTTGTGTGTGTATTTGTTCGGAGTTGCTTGAAAGCTTTTATGTCAAGTCAATTAACAAGCAGACTACATATACTAACTGCATATGGCATCTTAAGCAGCCAGGTGACATCACCAAGTTATACCATTTCAGAAATTTTTTTTTTTTTTTTTGCTATTATGCATCATAGATAGAGATAAAGTTACAGATGTATAGATCTCATACATAACAACATAGCTTGGTACAAAAGATTCACACACGAAGTACAGTGTTCAAAGCAATAAAATATGAAACGACATCTCTTATCTGCCAATAATTGACATATTGATAGCATTTTTACAGTTCTGAGGGCAGTGTAACAGGCCACTTTTACTTGTAGAATTCTTGGTAGAACTAATTTGAATAACATTTTAATGGCCTTTCACCCACTAGAATTTGAGCTGATAGCAAACAGATATGATGGCACATTTATATTCATATCTTCAGAGTAAGCATTTTACCTATAATGGTATCCAAAACAAAATCTAAAGAAAGGAAAGAAAAAATTAATTCATATTTATATTAATGTCATTAATCATATGTTTGATACCTATGAAAAAATTGTTTTGGAATCAGGACTCTAAATTAGGCCACTTTACAGAGTATTCCAAAATATGTTTGAAGAAACATTTTTTCTTCCAATTTCTAATGGATTGTTTTCTCAGATGTCAAATCTGTTTTTATTTGAATATTTTAACAGTTCTTTCTTTCCTAGCTCTTCATTTCTATAACTTTTTTTTTTTTTTTTTTTTTTTTTTTTTTTTTTTTTTTTGAGATGGAGTCTTGCTCTGTCTCCCAGACTGGAGTGCAGTGGCCGGATCCATTTCTATAACTTTTAAAAGTCTCTTTTGAATTTATTTTAAAGGCTCACAGTCATGGTACATTTAGAGATAGATCAATAAGTCAAACAAGTACAATCAGTTATTATATGTAGGACACTGTTTCGTCTAAAACTATGTTTAGAATCATCTCTGCTCTTAATGATCTCACTGTCTCGCTGAGTGTCAAACTCAAACCAACTAAAATATTTAATAACAATTTAAGTCAGCAACAGAAGAGAGGTAACAAGCTACTACAGGAATATTTTCCAAACGAATAAGAACTACAGGTGTCCAGAGGAGGTGCACGTGACTCTTCTTTGAGGCTGTGATTAATACATCTTACTTAATTTAGAATAAATACTGAATCATGAGTAGAATTAAAAGAGACGGAGAATAGAAGTATAACATTCTATGTAGAGTGAACAGTTTAAATAAAATACAATGTGTGCTCGGGAGATAACACACCAATTTATTTGGCTTACAGGAGTCATGCATAGTATAAAGTATTCTGACAGATTAGCAAAGTTTACAGAAAACCCAGACGTAAAAGTAGAGTTTAATATTGCTGGTGTATCTCACTACTCCTGTCAGCATTTTAGCATATATGACACATAACTACAAAGAGATGATTTCAGAAGACAGGTACAAAAATCATGATCAATATCTGAAACTCACCGTGGTAAGATTTTTGAATGATAGCTTGCAGGCTTAGAAGCTGAATCACAGAATGTATTCCAAGGTCTACAAATCCTGACTATGCTATGCCAAAGTGGGGCTTCTGAAGTCCAGGCTATATTGGCTAGAAGACCAATAAGCTAAGAAAAGCAAAATTCCCACTTAGAAACAAATAACTAACTTTGTGACCTTAGGTAAATGTCTTTAATCTCTTTGAGTCAAAGGTTATCTGATTCATAAAATAGGACATGTTTGTTTTCAGGATGAATGTTACAGGGATTGAGAATTTAGCTCAGTGTCTAGGCCATGGTAATGGCTAGGACTAGCATTTAATAAATGTGAGTTCTTTCTTGCTCTTTCTCCTCCCTTCTAAACTGGCTTTGGTTTGGGACATCTGCTACTCCTTTATACCCACTATTCTGACATGCATGTGTAGTTTTCTTTATTTTTTATTTTTCTTTTTTGAGACAGGTTCTCACTCTGTCACCCAAACTGGAATGCAGTAGCATGACCATGGCTCAGTGCAGCTTCAACCTCCCATGATCAAACAGTCCTCCTGCCTCAACTTTCCAAGGAGCTGGACCCATAGGCGTGCACCACCACACCTGGATAATGTTTTTTATTGTTAGTTGAGACATCGCCTCCCCATGTTGCCTAGGCTGGTCTCGAATTCCCAGGCTAAAGTAATCCCTCTGCCTTGGCCTCTCAAATTCCTGATATTACAGGCATGAGCCACTGTCCCGGGTCCAATGTGCAGTTGTTTAACACATCTTTTTTCATATGCTCTCCTTTTCCTTGGCAATGACGTTAGACCACCTCTACCACAGCAAAAACTCTTTAAGTGTAGAACCTCTCTGTTTCTATATTCTTAATAGCCTCTAAGATCGAACAAGGACTATGTAGCATATCTGAATGAACATATAAATGAAAGAATGATAAAAGCCCTCAGTAGTACATATAAAATTTTATAGTTTTTGCCAAAAATTTTTTTAGAAATAATAAATTCAGTGCAATATTTGTATATGTATTTCTTTGTTTTAAACAGAATATTTGTAGACAGTCAGCTTTATTCAACTATTTTCCTTAAAAATTGGCCAATAGTGGAAATGAACTTTAACTTGTATTTTAAGATTTCATATAATTACAACAGTATCTCATTCTTAATAAAATAAAGTTTCCTCTAACATTTTTGCAAACATAAAAAAATTATATTGTAAGAATGTAAATTAAGAAAAATTTTACAGTAAAATCTGGATTCACAAATCATTTTTCCAAAGTCATTCAGGTGTTATATATATGGAGAGAGAGACAGAAACAAGTTGAGTAGTTACACAGTTACACTGTATATTTCTACCTGTGCTAATGCTGTAGAAAGAGCAATGACTCTAATACCTGACTTCCTATTAAACTGGTTCGGGTGCCTTAGGGATAACTAAACCACTTGAAGTCCAAAAAAAAAAAAAAAAAAAAAAGAAGAAGACGACTTTGCATAGTTACAATAGCATTTTATATTATCAAAATATCTTCACTACTATTTTGGGGGTACAGGAAATAGAATTTTGTGTGTAGTGTAATGCCATTCTTCTTCAAAATACCTATGGTTGAATAATTTGCTTTAAAAAAAATACATTGATTTTTTTCCACGTAAATTTTTAACGTGGTAAGGTGTTTGAGAAATGAAATCATCCTTGTTTACTGCTTACATACTTACAGCCTACCCACACTGGGTAGAAAAACTGAATGATACTCAGTTAGACAGTGGGAGCCCTCTCCGATGGGAATGTAAGGCTACTGGAAAACCCAGACCCACATATCGTTGGCTGAAGAATGGAGTACCCCTCTCATCTCAGGTACTGTTGGGAGTTTTTAACCTGTTCTATTGTAATTTTAGCAAGATTTTACATAGGACAAACTAGGCTTCTGTAGTCTTATTGAAAGTCTTTTCCTATTTCTGATTCATAATATAGGACGTGTTTGTGTTAAGGATGAATGTTATCGGGATTAACTGAGAATTTAGCTCAATGTCTGGGATATAGCAGTCATCTATTTTAATATATTTTGAGTGAGAAACATAACAAATATATAAGCATTTTTATTTTAATTTCCTCATTACATTTTTTGGTAATGTAGTGTTTCTTTAAAATGTTTTCAATCCTATAAATTTTTATGAAACTATCAATGATTATCATAGACTTATTTCCATTTGTAGCTGACTTTTAGATATCACCTAAAATCACTTGGCATCTTTGTTGATAGACAAAGCACTGCCAACTAAGATTTTTTTTTAATGATTTGCTTGGCATTAAGTAGATAAGACGTCTGGTTGTTTAACATTTTAAAGTTAAAATTTGTTTTTGAAATATGCTCTTGACTTAAAGTTACCTTAATTTGCACATGCTCAATTTTTTGTCTTTTATACTAACTTTCTTCTGATACTGAAGTATATTGTCTGACCAATAATTTTATCTAGAATCTAGTCACAAGGCAGTTTTCAATTTGTGTTAGTTTTTTGGGAAGTGAGTGAAAATGACAAACTCCTCATTGGATCAATATAGTAAAGGGATTGTTCTTATGACCTGGGCTATTTTTAACCTTGATCTCATGTGTCTACAACCTCAATCCTTTCTACTATATGAATCCTTCTTTCCCTTTGTAAACGGAATGCAAATAAAAGCATCACCTGCTGATTACATTTCACAAGCTCAACTAGTGTACCAAAAAAAGGCACCTCACTTTAAAAACAAAACTGAAGGTAAAACTTGCCAGAATAACTCCATAAAAATATCATTATAATTTATTTTCAACCAATCAATAACCATAATTTACCAGATGCATGTTATAATAAAATAATGAACAGTACATTCACATTGCTGCATGGCCAAATAATGTTTAACTGCATTAATTGCAAACTTGTTTTTTCTTAGTCTAGCAGAGGATACCCATAAAATCCATGTTATTTGTTTACTTTCTAGATCTAATTCTTTTTAATTCCATTACAGAGTAGGGTTGAGATGGTTAATGGAGTATTGATGATCCACAATGTGAATCAATCAGATGCTGGAATGTATCAGTGTTTGGCTGAAAATAAGTATGGAGCCATTTATGCTAGTGCTGAGCTGAAGATTCTAGGTATGCAATTTCAAAGTGAATAAATAGAAAAAAAATAAACCTTGCTTCTTTTCATGCTCTAATTTTTACTATACTGAAGTTTTATGATGTGGTTGTAAAAATCTATTTTATGGCTTGAAAGGAAATACTATGTCTTGCTGATTTTTTTTTAACTTTAGTAGACAGGTTTATGTTGTGTATAGTTTGTCGCATAACTTTTTGTTCGTATAGTTTTTTTAACTTCAGTTTTAATCTTAAAAGGTTTACACAATACACCTTTGCTATGGCACTTAAAAAAAATCACATGAAGAGATATGTATTAACTTCCAAGGAAGAATGCCTTGAGGGCAGGAGATCAGAATATAGAATTCCAGCAGCCTGTCGATGCTCCCATAGCAATGCTTAATAATTTCCCAGGCATTTCCTATCAGTAGCTGTGTGGCTCCTGAAAGACAAGACTCCAGGCTAAATCACTCTCCCCTCATGGGGCATCAACTCATGCCATCCTTACGTAACAGGGAAAGGCTTCCTGATGCCAGGCACTACAATCTCATAGGGTTACACCCTTGATAAAAATGTAACCCAGGCGCTCCATTTCTTCACTATTTAAATACTACAGGAAAGAATCAATCCAGGGAAATAGACTACCCAGAATAAACATATACGAGCCATTGGAATGAATTTTACTTTTCCCACTTTGATTGTTTCCTAAACTGGTTCTGGGATGTTTGTAACATTGAGAAAGATACTAACTCATTGTCTTTCCAAAGCGGACAGAAGCCCAACTGTGCTTTCTATTCCCCATTTAAATTATCAAAGCATAACTTAAGAGAAACACCAAAGATCTCAGGAATCTTGGAGCCTTCCATTTTTATATCAGCTAAATGTAATACATCCTAAAGCAATTTGTTGAATTATGAATGTTTCCAGTTGACATTTCTCCACATTACAACAAATCCATCCAAAATAGATAGAGGATTCTTCCTTTCAGTCTCCTTCATTCTAACCAATTAAATGTTAATGTACTTTTTTGTCAACTCACACTATAATAGCACTGAATTAAAAGGCTGATTTACCCTTCACCTAGTTCGTAGCTCTGAAACATTTATCCAACCCTTATCATTCGCAAGAAATATTTTCAAAATTACTTTCTGTGAATTCTATTCCCAGTAGGCAAAAAAAAAAAAAAAAAAAAAAAAGTACCTGCAACTGTCTCCCCATAAATTTCTTTAGCTTTTCAATATTTTTTCCTTGAGACCAAGTCTCACTGTCTCTCAGGCTGGAGTGCAGTGATGCCATCTCAGCTCACTGCAACCTCTGCCTCCAGGGTTTAAGTGATTCTCCTGCCTCAGCCTCCCAAGTAGCTGGGACTACAGGCGCCCACAGCCACACCTGGCTGATTTTTGTATTTTCAGTACAGATGGGATTTCACCATGTTGGCCAGGCTGGTCTCAAACTCCTAACCTCAAGGGATCTACCCACCTCGACCTCCCAAAGTGCTAGGATTATAGACGTGAGCCACCATGCCAGGCCAATTTCTTTAGTTTTAAAAAATCTCTTAACCTATCTCAATTGTGTACATATCTTTTTAAATGTTGTGACATGCATTATGTTGCTATATATTTTATATATATAATATGAAATACATATAATATCAGATTGGTAAAAATAAATGTCACAGATACTCTAGACTTGTAGATATGTTTCAGGTTCTCTTTTAGATTCAAAAGTGTTTTAATAAAAATTATAGTATACACAATATTATTAATAAATGATCAGACCTAAGTGAAAAATTATAAGTAAAATTGCTAATTGAAATTCAAATAGTTCAGTTTTAAAAAATTAATTTAATGTTTTATAATATTAAAGTAATATACAGAATAAATTAAGATTTGTAGATGGGAAATGGAAGACACAGGATTGTCTTTTTGACAGGTAACCTCCATCTTACCAAAGGAAGCCTAAATGGATTCTTTTGGTTAGCTTATTGCTCTTTTGCCAAAGTCATTCATTAGTCTTTCATAATTGAATTTGGTAATCATAATTAAAACATGTCATTTTTTGAAATAGCCTTTATCTGTAGATCCTACGTTGTGTGACATCATCACCTGCTAATGTAGTAAGATACATATTAACTAATAATAAGTAAAATTTTGAGCTAGTGCCTTTTTCATGTGTAGATATACTATGATTTTATAGGAAATGCCTACCAGAAGAAGTTACAAAATCTTTATAAATCATCCATTAGAGATTATTGTCATTGCTTCTGGTAGGACTAACATTTGCTTTTTTAACAGCTTCAGCTCCCACTTTTGCACTGAATCAACTGAAGAAAACAATAATTGTTACCAAAGATCAAGAAGTTGTCATAGAGTGCAAACCCCAAGGCTCTCCAAAACCAACCATCTCTTGGAAGAAAGGAGACAGAGCAGTTAGAGAAAACAAAAGGTTAGAATCTATTTTATAATTCAAGTTCAACATTAGACTTTTTTGAGGTTACAGGTGACACACACTAACTATGCAAGAAGGAGTCTTGCAGTACCATGAGATGTATTTTATGAGCTGATTGAAACATGGCTTTGCCTATATAGTGATTTTAAAAGAACCCAAAGTTTGACTTCAAAACGGTCAGTCGTCTTTGCCTCCATGAGGTTTTAGCACAAGTTGGAAATTTCACTAGGTTTTGAAGAAAGTACACTTTAATTAAACTAATTATTTTTGTTTGTTTGTTTTTCATCTTCTGCATTTAGGAGGTCTACAAATAATCTGTGATAATTTTTAAGTGTTGTGTTTTAATTTGATTTTAATAATACAAATGATAAAAACATATGTGAACCTTCTGGATAATCATGACAGAATACTTTATTGTGATATTTATGCCAATGCTTGTCTTTTTATCCAGGTCATATTTAGGCAAAATAGTATAGGATTATTTTTAGTGCCATAGGCAAATGAGAAATGAGCAGAGGGATATTTAATATGTAAACATTTGTCTGTGGCAACTAAAGCCAAAGGATATCACAGGACTACAAATGGAGAAAAATTCATGAGAGAATTACATCATCACATGGTAATCTATTTGCGCCGAATTCAAATGTTTCATGTCCTACCATTATTGACATATTGGTATGACGAATGGTGATTCAGCTTTGACAAAATATTATCCTTTATTATGTCAAAATAATATTTTACTATATTACATTTTAATTGATCTAGAAGTATAAGGAGTTTATTACTTGTTCTATGTTTGTCTCAATCTACATAAAATGTAATTGAAATAATTTAAGTCTGCATTAGCGGTTCACTTGAATATTTCCAAAGTAACATTGAAACATTTTGAAAAATTTAAAAAAAGTATTTTTGTTTTCCATCAAATCTGAGAAACACTGATTTAAACAGTCTATTTCAGATTAAATAATTTTTGGAATACTGGCTTCAATTTAGACCGAAATATCTATGCTTCTTGGAAAGGGTGATCACCTGGGATTGGGATGGGTCATTGTTGGCACTCTTACACCAAAAGCCCTATCGTAAGGGTCAAGGCTGACACTCGTAACAAAAGACAGGCTAACAAGAGAAAAGTTTTGTGTGACACAGGGGCCTTCAGAAATGATCCAAAGACTTAGAGAAAACTCTTTTTATGCTTAGGTTCAATGAAGAATAGAGAGCCATGTAGAAATATGATTGGACAAAAAGGATGTGATCTAATGGTTATAGACAGAGTGGGAAAATCCAGCAAGGCCTATCTGTTCAGATTCTTCTTGGACTTTTTGTGTGATTTTCCTTTCCTCCAGGTATAGGACAAGTCGCCTGTCACATGAGATAATTCAAGGGAGAAGGGAGAAGGTCAATCTTTCTAGGTTTTATAGCTTGCTTTGGGGAAGGGAAGTTACAGTTTCTATGATCTGCCTGGGGGGAGAGAATTCCGGTTTCTATCATTCTCCGCAGGAGAGAAAGATGAGTGGGAAACAGACAGATGGGAGAAATTCAAAAAGATCCTGCTTCCCAAGTCCTTTCAATCTTCTTCAGGTCAAAGTACTCTGTGCTGTATTCTGGGGTATCATGTTCTGAGCCCTAACATCGTACAACTTGTTTTAAAAGGAATTTCTCATTCTCAGGTTGAAGGTGGGTGGCAAATGATAAATTGTGAGATCGTTGTTGACTATGATTGAATTGATCAGAAAATGATTGAATATTAGTAGACTGCCGCTCACAACAATGTGGCTTTTAAAAAACTGCACAAACCTAATTAAAGTAGAAGAAAATTGTTGCATAGTAGGAACAAATAATGTACACTGCTAGATTATTTTTTCTGAATGTATTAAAAAGTTTACAATGTCATGAAAATATATATGCCTTCTCTGTGCAAAACATTCTATCTGAAATGCATGACTTTGTTTTATGTTTCTGGGTGGCATGTGAGGTTTGTCCCATTTATTTCAGTTCACAATAAGAATGTTCTTCATCAACTGTTCACAAATGTCACATGGTGAGTTTAAAAAATTAGGGTGGAACTTCTTTTTCCAAAGCAAAAGTATTGAGAGAAGTAACAGGATTATGAGTATTCTATTACAACAACATAAGCATATTAAATTTTTTATTTTTCAGATGTTGAAAAATACAGTTCATGAATTTTTCAGCTTTCTTGTTTCTCTTTCTTTTTTTACTGCTAACCCTTAGGGTTAGTGAGACAGATACATTGACCTGAAACTCAGATCACTAAATTTTTTCTATATGTCAATACTTCTGGTCAAAGCGTTGTTTAGGAAGAAGGCTGAAATGTAAAATTTTTTTTTATTTATTCAAGCAAAAGCAAGACTGGGCTACATTTCCTTAGCATTCTGCCTACCTTGATCTATATATTTTAGGTCAATAAACCGGCTTTATTTAATGACAAATCCCAGACATATAGTGCATTTTTATTCTTAAAATTGGCAGGCACACTTAAAAAACACCATTTTTATTATTGAACGACTTGTTCAATATGGCAGTCCTAGGTTTTAAAAAGAAAAATCTAGTTCGCTACAAAAAATAATAATACTTAATATTAATTAAGAGGCTAAGATTTCAACAGAAATAAAAAGAATTCCATAATACAAGAAGACACTTAGTTGAAAAATCGTACATTCTAAAATTATGAATAGAAACTTAACAATTTCAAATGTCTATATTTGACATTCTTTAAAAGAAGTATCAGTTACAATGACAACTTATTTTCTTCTGGAAATTTTAGATTGCTTCTCTGTTATAATGCACACCAACCATTTGATTACAGGCCTAAATGTAAATTTAAATGGAAACAGAGATGTTAGAAAACTGTTAAGACTTCAGAAAGTTTGCATCATTTTTTAAATTTATCATTTACATTGGGTTTGCAGATTCAAATCATGGTTTATTTTGGAATATAAATATAAATATAATTCATATGATCTACATCAAATGTGTGCCCCACTCATCCAACCTACAACAATTGAGACACAAATGTTGAATGAATTAGCATTGTCCTTCATTAAAAATTTTGTAATTTTGGGTTCATTCCAAAGAACTATTGAAACAGCAAATGGCAGTTTCTATATAAGAAATAAATAATAATATTATATTGGGGAAAAGGAATTAACATAATAGTATATTATAAAGGAGACATACAGGCCAGGTACAGCTCTCATGCCTATAATCCCAGCACTTTGGAAGGCCAAGATGGGAGGATCACTTGGGCCCAGGAGTTTCAGACCAAACCTGTGCAACACAGCAAGACTCCTGTCTCTGCAAAAAACAAAGTAAATAAATTGGCATGGTGGTGAATGCCTGTAGTTCCAGCTACTCAAGAGGCTGAGGTGGGAGGATGGGTCGAGCCTGGGTAGTTTAGCAGAGCCATGATCATGCCACTGAGTTCCAGCCTGGATGACAGAGCAAAATCCTGTCTCAAAAATAATAGTAAAATAAGATCACAAAGAAATATTTTTTTTAAAAAAACAAGATATATCAATTGCTTTCATAGCATAAAATTATGTTCAGAGCAATGGCATAAAAATGTAATATATAGTTTTATTTGCAGGAAAATGTAATCTAATCATCTGAAAATATGTCAGAAAATCGCGAAGGTAAATTTAATTTAGCGTTACTGAAATTTAACTCTAAATTGTAAATAAAATGATTGAAAGTGATAGAACAACTGAAGGTTATGGTTAATCATTTATCAACAGAGTGCCAAATAACCATTTGGCTCATTTTTTTTCTACCATGTTTTGAGCAAATCTGCCTGGTTTAGTTTTCTCTGTTTTGTTGAGGGGTGAGTGTCTTCAAAACACAGTATTTTTTATGTGTATCTGTTTTGCTAAGGAAACTTAGAAATCATTATTCTAAAGTTGAAAATTTGATAATAACTAGAACATAATATGACTTTTAGAAAAAATATCATTAACAAATGTGTTGCCTGCTTATGTATTACCAAACATTTCATTCATTTGGCCCTAAATGATAGACCTAAAATATACAAGAAAATGGATTACTTCAGAGCTAAGATTTATTTACATTTGTTTGTTATTTATATCACAGAATGATCAGTATGTGCTCTCTTCAGATAGTAAATCACATTATTACTAATAATGATGATGACTGCTTATGAGTGCATAGCATTTATAATTTGCAAAGCACGTTAACATTGTTGCTAAAAGTATAAACCAGTGTATAAAAGGAGGACTTACTTGCCATGATTATCCTGCAGATTATGAGGTTTCAACAAGTTACCTAATTTATTATCTTACTAAATTAAAGGAGTAAGCTGATTGGGTTGTGAGAATTAAATGAAATTTTGCATGTAAAATACATTGCCTAGTGTATGACATCTACTCAGTACTCAGTGAATGTTACGTAAAATGATAATGATACTGATGAAGATGATGGCGGTGGTGGTGGTAATGTAATAATGATGGTATCTGTATCAGGCCATTTTCATACTCCTATAAAGAACTGCCCAAGACTAGGTAATTTATAAAGGAAAGAGGTTTAATTGGCTCACAGTTCAGCATGGCTGAGGAGGCCGCAGGAAACTTACAATCATGGCATAAGGCAAAGCAGGAGCAAGGCACCTTCTTCACAAGGAGGCAGGAAGGAAAAGTGCTAAGCAAAGGGGGAAGAGCGCCTTATAAAACCATCAGATCATGTGAGAACTCACTCCATATCATGAGAACAGCATGGGGAATACCATTCCTATGATTCAATTACCTCTACCTGATCTCTCCCTTGACATGTGGGGATTATGGGGATTATAATTCAAGATGAGATTTGGGTGGGGACACAAAACCTAACCATACTAATATAATTTGTACCTTTGAATCTTTGTCCTTGGAATAGGTTCCTGTCCTAGTAGACCAAATATTTACTTGTTCCATTACCATTTGATAGGCCATGTGCAAATAGATAAATAGACATAGGGAGTTAATGGAAAT